AATCAGTAGATTAGGCTCTATTTGTTTGAATATTATGAAATCTTTTCCCATCACATTGTCCTTCAACCCGTGATACATTTCATTAGTACTCCTCTTTTTTGCTGATCCTCTGTGTAGTATGGTGGTGTTCTCAGGTTCTAGTCCCTCTTAATAACATGTCCAAAGTTGTTATTGTTAGGCGTTGTCGAGTATGAGTCATAGCCACACTGTGAACAACAGACCTGAACCCTGCTCTGTCGTGTGCCATCCTCATCACCCTTGTCACACGTGCACCCATTAATACAGTCACCATGCCAATCCATCTGATCGAGGATCTTTTTCTTTTTCACTGTCCAAAAGTACTTGAGACAAATTTGCTTTCCAGGAACATTTTAGCTGTGCTTCTTCCAATATTTGTTCATTTTTTTTTTGGCACTCCAAATCATTATTCTTCACCAATACTACAGTTCAAAGACATTATTTTGTCAGTCTTCCTTCTTCATTGTCCATTTGCATCCTTTTTAAGTGATTAAAAATAGCAAGACATGAATCAGATTAATCTCTTAAGGTGATGTCTTTGCTTTATAACACTTTAAAAAGATCTTATGCAGATTTACCAAATATGATACATTGTTTGATTTTTTGATTGTTGCACCCATGAGGATTAATTATGATTCCAAGTAAAATTGAATCCATCACAACTTCCATGCCCTTTCTGTATATTATGATATTTTTTAGTGATACAATTGGCAGGTATTTTTGCTTTTTCTTATATTGCGATGTAATCTGTATTAATGGTTTTAGTCTTTAATCTTCATCAGTAAATGGTCCAGTCCTCTTCACTTTCAGCATTCAAGGTTGTGTTATATGAATAAGGCATAAGGCAAATTATTGATGAGTCTTTTTCCAATCCTGATGCTATATTCTTCCTCATACGTTCCAGCATCTTGGATTACTTACTCAGCATATAGACTGAATATCAGGAAAGGATACAACCATGATGTACACTTTTCCTGATTTTGAACTATGGAATATTCCGTGTTTTGTTTGAATAACTTTGTTTGGTCTGTGAACAGGTTTTTCCTGAATACAGTTGAGCATTCTGGAATTCCCATTCTTTGCAGCATCATTTATAGTTTGTTATGATACACAGAATATGCCTTTGCATAATCAGTAAAATGCAGGTAAACATCTTTATTGTATTTTCTACTTTCAGCTGAGCTCCATCTGATATCAGCAGTGATATCCCTTGTTCCATGTCTTCTTCTGAATCCAGGTTGAAATTTGACAATTCCCTGTTTATGCTAGCTAAAAACTACTGTAGTGGCTTTTAAATTATCCTCAACAAGAATATTACCTGTGTATGATATTAGTGCAATTATCTGTAATTTCTAAATTCTGTTGGATAGCTGCTCCTTAGAATAGGCACAGTAGTTATTGATATCTTCTAGTTCCTCTTCCAAGTAGCTATCTTCCAAATTTGTTGATAAAGTCAATAAGTACTTACAGCCTTACCATCTATAGATTGAAACGTCTCAATTGGTATTCCTGGTCAGTTCCTAAAACAGTGTTTTTTGCCAGCAATTTTGTACAAAATGAAAACCTCAAACTCACTGCTGTAGAGTTGGAACAAATTCGTGGCTGACCCTCCAGTGAGTTTACAGAGGCTGCAAATTGACTGGGAGAAGTTTGTCCATCTTTCTCCCTTGGAGAAGTTGGTGGATTTGAGCTTCCTGGACAGCTCCTGGCCAACTGACTGGAGGAGATCTATATTTATTCCTATTCCAAAAAACAGTGACCTGAAAGAGTGTGAAAATTATCAAACAATATCACTAATATCATACACAAGCAAGATCCTGCTGAAGATTATCCAAAAATGACTGGAACAGTACATCATCAGAGAACTTTCAGATGTGCAAGCTATGTTTAGAAGACATTGTGGCACTAGGGACATCATAGTCAGTGTTAGATGGATCTTGGCCAACAGAGAGTACTAGAGGAATGAATGTGTGTATTTCATTGACTATGCAAAGGCATTTGACTGTGTGGATCACAACAGATTATGGCTAAGTTTGAGGAGAATGGAAATCCCAGAATATGGGATTGTGTTTAAGTAAAACCTGTCCTTGGATTAGGAAGCAATAGTCAGAACAGAGCAGGGAAACACTGCATGGTTCAGGATTAGGTAAAGAGTGAGTCAGTGATGCATTCTATCTCCATATCTTTTCAATCTATATGTATAATATTACTCAAGAGGCTAGACTCTATGAGGAGGAATATGGCATCAGGATTGGAGCAAGATTAATCAACAACCTATGTTATACTGATGACACAACCTTGCTTGCTGAAACTGAGGAAAACCTGAAGTGCTTACTTCAGAAGGTCAAGGACTTTAAGTCTTCAATATTGATTGAAGCTCAGCATAAAGAAAACAAAAATTCTCACCACTCGGCCAATTGGCAACTTCATGAGAAATTGAGAAGAGATTGAGATTGTTAACTTCAGTTTGCTTAGTTCCACAGTCAAGACTCGTGGCACCAGCAGTTAGGAAATCAAAAGATGAATTGCATTGGGAAAGTCTGCTATCAGGGATGAATCCAGGCTGCTTCCTGGTACTAACTGAAAGAAATTATAAAAGAATTTAATCTTTAACTTGTAATATTAAAAGATTCTATGAGCAAAGTACTTAATAATATAGGAAGTATCAAAATAGAAGGAATATAAAATCGCTGTACCAAATTTGGGTGTTCTGGTGGGTTAGTGGGTAAGGAGTTATGCTGCCAACCCAAAGGTGGTGGTTGTTATGTGCCATGGAGTCACCTGTGATTCATTGTGGCCTTATCCTGAGCCAAACTTACCATCTCCTAAAGACCTAATCTCATTTCTCCAGTCACTGAGTCAATCCATCTCATTGAGGATCTTCCTTTCTTTCCCTAACCCTCCACCTTTCCAAACATGATGCTCTTCTCCAAGGACTGGCTTCTTCTAACAACGTGCCCAAAATTATGTGAGACAAAGTTTCACCATCCTTGCTTCTAAGAAGCATTTTATCTCTAGCCCATAATATAGTACCTGATTATATAGTAAAAAGATGAGGAAATATTCAAGGATACAATTGCCTGTACTTTGACTTTATTGACTAACTTTCCTGATTTGGAATTTATTGTCCTGAGCAGATCCAGTATATAAAAAAAGCCCCTCATAACAATTGAAGCAAAGTAGTGTCATAAATTAAATTCATGGACTTTCCTTTAGGTAGATTCAGCCTGTAGGTATCATCTAGACTCTGTTGCTTGCACTATAGGACTTTCCTAGGATTTGTTCACCACTGCATTACTGACTTATCTGAATATTAAAAGATTTCATACAGGTTGTCACTTGGCTTTAATGTAAAATCTTTATGGTCCTGTTTTATGTAACTCTTACACTCATCAATAGAGTTAGATCCATCTCCTAGTGACTCTGTTAGGATTTTAAGAGTAAATCTTTATGAGAGTATACTGCCCATCTTTCTTCCTCAGATTGGTAGATTCACATTGATCTTTATCATAGCAGCCAGATATACTGTATACTACACCAAGAGGCAGTGGTCAGAACAGAGCAGGGCAACACTGCATGGTTCAAAATTGGGAAGGGTGTACGCCAGGGATGTGTCCTATCTCCATACCTTTTCAACCTGTATGCAGAGCAGATTGTCCGAGAGGCTGGGCTCTATAAGGAGAAGCGTGGCGTTAGGATTGGTGGAAGTTCTATCAACAATCTGCGTTATGCAGATGACACAACCCTGCTTGCTGAAAATGAGGAGGACCTCATGCACTTACTGAAGAGTGCAGAGGGTCAAGGACTGCAGCCTTCCATATGGAATGAGGCTCAATGTCGAGAAGACAAATATTCTCACCACTGGACCAATCAGTAGCATCAGGATGAATGACGAAGAGATTGAGATTGTTCACAGCTTCAGTTTGCTCGGCTCCACGGTCAACACTCTTAGCACCAGTAGCCAAGGAAATCAAAAAAACTTATTGCTATGGGAAAGTCTACAGTTAGGGACCTCTCTAAAGTACTCAAGAGCAGCGGTGTCTCTCTGGAGACTAAGGTGCGCCTGATACAGGCCATGGTTTTTGCAATCACTTGTTATGCATCAGAGAGTTGGACAATGACTAGGGAGGATGGAAGGAGAATTGATGCCTTTGAGCTGTGGTGCTGGAGAAGAGTATTGAATGTACCATGGACTGCCAATAAAACAAACAGATTCATCCTAGAGAGGGTTAAACGAGGCTGCTCCTTGGAGGCAAGGATTCCGGGGCTTCATCTGACATACTTTGGACATGTTGTAAGGAGAGACAGGTCCTTGGAGTGGGACATCATGCTTGGTAGGGTAAAGGGACAGCACAGGAGGGGAAGAACCTCTATGAGGTGGATTGATTCAGTGACTGGGGTGTGTGTCAGAGGCAATGAGATTGGCACAGGATAGAGCATGGTTTAGGGCTGTTGTACATAGGGCCGCTATGAGTCGCAAACAACTTGAAGGCACATAACAACAACACCACCACTATGGCTCTTGGGTAATTCTTACTTAATTACAGTACTTTCATATGAACCAAGATTGCTTACTAGGTCATCATTTATCTTGTTAAAGTATTGGAAGTCTCATAAGTGAATAACCACATTGCTTCCTGATCAAATTTAAATGTTGTTCATCTCATTTCACTAGTTAATCTGCATATTTAAAATAATCATTATTTTTTAGGTTCATTAAATGAATGTTATTGTTGTCTAAATTTAGAAAAGAATAGAAAACACAGTCTTTGGCTTTTATTTAAACATGACTGGAGTTAAACAGGTTTGCAAAAACTTATTTTATGCCATTGATTGCAAATGTTTCTGTGATTCTGCTGTGTAAGTAAAAGGGAAGATTATTAGGAATTAATGATGTTGTAATTGGTACATGAAATTGGCTAAAACTGTACAAGATGTTGAAATCTAGGACATCTTCTGTAAGCTGAGAAAATTTCTATACCAGTTTCTTTATTTTGAGTTACAATATGGACAACACCAGCAACAAAATACTTTACAAGGATTTTTTTTCTTGTATTTTACAGCTAGTCCAAATTTCTCTTTAGTAGTGTGAACATATTCTTTTGTACTGTTCATTGTCATTTCAATATTGTTGATGCTTTCTCCTTGCTCTTCTACCAAGATAGTTATCTGAATGAAAAGGTCTCGTAAATCCTTGATTTGGCTCTCCAAACTAACAAGTTCCTTATGTCTTTGTTCAATCTCTGAGAGTTGTGCTTTAGTGATAATGATTTCTGTAAGTAAACTCTCGTTGAAAACTTCCCATTTCCCTTGATGAAGCATATCATTTACTACTTCTTCAGACACTTCTTTTCCAGCAACTTCAAGCTGGCGGAAAAGAAACATCTTGCACTTCTCTTGCTTTGCTGCTATTGTGTCATAGTATTTAAACATGGTTTGCTGAAATTTACGGAACATAACAGTGTGCTGAGATTTAAGTATCCTTGTGACCACTGATGATGGACCATTTTCATCCTCTGACTTCTTAATTTCTTTTACTAAATCATCCAAATTTTTTCTAATGTGTTCTGCTTCAATTTTTATCTTCTTTATAATGCTTGATTCTCTCTTGAGTAGACTAAACCTCCTCATTGAAGCCACCAGACTTTTCTGCTGCTGTCCAACTATTTGAACATCATCTGTTAGATTGTTGATACTTTCCTGTAATTTTTGGATCTTATGTAACTGTGTCTCAGCTACAGGTTCTCTTTCATAAATAACAGCTTGCTGCAAAAACTCTCCTTCTTCGTCTGCCCCTGTGGTTGACACATGCCTTTCTCTAGAGAGTTCAATTTCTTTTGTTCTCTGCTTCAGTTCTTGAAGTCGGTCTTTCATCTTCTCTATCCTAAAAAGCAGAAATGATTGTGTTGAACAAAGAGAGACTGGTATTTTTTGCCAGTGGCTGTTTTACAAAGCAGTGTCTTATTTCCCAGTTTTCTCCTGGTTATCTGAATAAAAATTTTTAAAAATTAAGATAAATCAATAAACATGTCCTCCGAAAGAGAACAGGAATAGGGAAAGATAATGTTAAATAATTTATAAATTACTTTGTGTAGTTCTGAGCTGCTGTGAGTCCATTTAGTGAGTGAAGAAGGTGAGAAAGCTATGATGAAGGTAAAATGACCAAAATAATTTCATTATCATTATGCTATCGTATGATAGATTTCTTGATACAAAGTGCTTTAGACTACCTTTTTAACTTTTAGATTTAATGTGTAGGCTCTGAATGTTCCCTTGTTATTAAAAATACTTTTCCAGTTAATATGGTTTAATATAAAAATTAAAAATATGATTATTTTGCTAAATATGCTTAATTTATTACAGCCAGTCTAGTGACAGATTCCATCTGAGCTATAAACAATTTGTCTTAAATTTGAATTTATCTTAATTTCCTAAGTTCATAGGTTTAATTAACATACTTAATTAACTTTAATAACATACTTTAATTAACATAACTTTTTATTATTTTTGGGTTTATATAGCTATGTGTGTGTATATATATGTGTGTGTGAAACCATATTCTTGGTACAGATATGTCAATCTTTCTTTTTGAACATTCCTGTGGAAAGCTCCATAGAGGTTTTAGAACAGGCTTTAACTGCTTGTTTTTAGGTGCTGTAGAGTCAACTATGACTCATAGTAAAGCTATAAACAAACAGTAGATTGAAAGCACACTGTGTCCTGTGCCATCTTCACAATCTTTTCCATCCTCAAGCCTGTTGTTTCAGCTACTGTGTCAGTAGTCAGTTTATCTCATTGAAAGTCTTTTTCTCTTTCACTGTCAACTTTTACCACCATGATAGTTTTTTCCAAGGGCTGGTAAAGTTTCTAATATCATACATGCCCAAAATAAGTGGAATACAGTATCACTATCTTTGCTTCTAATTTAATTAAGTAATATTTTTACAAGCTTATATGTAATATATAATCTTATTGTGGGGATATTAGCAGGAGTTCTGGTGCTGTAGTCAATGAGAAATTACAAGTCTAACCTAAAGGCAGGACTTCTTGGGCAGCATGAATCCACAAGTGGCTCTGTGAGAAAAAATTGGATAGTGTATTCTTGTGCAGTTTTCACTTTCCAAAACTGTGGGAGGGTCAGCTATGAGTTGATTCCAACTCAATAGCAATGAGTGAGTGAGTGATAAAGTAGTATTTCTGCAGTTGTTTTAGTTATCCACAGTGTTAAGTTAAGAAATCACTTTATTTACAGAGTATTATGATGTTGTACACTTAACTAAAAGACATATTACATTGAGGAAGTCTGCTGTCAGAGCCCTCTCCTCTTACTGAAAAGCAACGATGTCAGTCTGGAGACTAAGGTGTGCCTGATACAGGCCATGGTCTTTGCAGTCATTTGCTATGCATCAGAGAGCTGGGCAATGACTAGGATGATAGAAGGAGAATTGATGCCTTTGAGCTGTGGTGTTGGAAAAGAGTATTGAAGATACCGTGGACTGCTAAGAAAACAAACACCTTTGTCCTGGAGAGGGTGAAGCCAGGCTGCTCATTGGAAGCAAGGATTCTGAAGCTTCACCTGACATACTTTGGCATGCTGCAGGGAGGGACCAGTCTTTGGAGAGGGACAGCGCAGGAAAGTAAGACCCTCAATAAGATTGATTGATTCATTGACTGGTGTAATGGGGGATAGGCGTGTCTGAGACAGTGAGATTGGCATGAAATAGAGCAGGGTTTAGGGCTGTTGTACATAGGGTCTCTATGAGTCACAGGCAACTCAATGGCACATTACAACAACAAATGTGTTTTATGATAATCTTAGAGATAAGAAGAGGCTATTTAGGTTTTTCAAATGCCTCATCAAACCATGCATAATAATAATAATGTAAATTAGAGCAAAATGTCTCTAATGTTATTCTTGGGTATATGTTAATGTAAATATATTTATTAGTGATATGCATGCCAAAGAAAGTCTACTAATATGTTGTTGAACAAAGTTTAGAATGATTTTCCCTCTGCTGTAGTTGAGATTCCAATGATTAAAATAGCAGGGAACAATACATTAAAAGTAGCAAAAAATGTATTTAACAGAAGTGGATATAAAGTAGGCAGTTCTCATGGTATAATGCTTAAGCACTCAGCTTCTGAAAAGCTAAGGTTTTAAGCTACCCATTGGCTCTGTGGGTAGAAGACCTAGTGTTTTGCTTTTCTAAAGCTACGAAGTACTTAGATTTTCATAAAGTACCTTCATATGTACCAAATAGGATTTGCCTTGTGAAAATAGGATTTGTGGAATATATACACCTGTTTGTTAAAATGTGAAAAATTATATCTATAAGAGATATTTACTTGACCTAAAAGCAAAGACAGTAAGTGGAAATTATGGAGAGAGGCTTGGTTTAGTAGAAAGAAGACTTTTTAGACAAGTAAAGTTATCCCACGATGAGGGAATAAGCTTATTACCATGAAGATGTTTAAAATGTACTTGAATGATGATTCGGTGAGGATAGTCTAGAAATTATTACTACTTTGAGTGAAAAAAGTTAAACTAGTGTCCCAATAATCTTCTTTTGATTGTGATAGGGTTGGTATTTTATCAAATAATTATTAAGGTGAAGAATATTGAATATGTCATGACTTTCTAAAACAACAAACAAATCCATCTTGAAAGAAACAAAGCTGAGCATGCTCTTTAGAAACAAGGATATTCTTTAGAAGCTTTTTCTTACATACTATGGCATGTTATCGGGAGGGATTAGTTCCTGGATAGGAGCATTTATGGTTGGAAAAAGCAAAGTCAGTGAGCAAATAGGAAGACCCTTGACAAGGTGAATTGGCAGAGTGACTGCAGTGATGGTTTTAAGCACTGTAGAATTTGTGAGTATATAGAGGGATTGTGAGCAAAGAATCTGAAAGGATTTTGTTCTGTTGCTCTTAGTCAGAAGCAACACCCAACACCAAAATTATTTTGAGTTTTAAAAGCTTTTATTCAGTAAAATCTGTCCTTGAGAAATATACAGCCTGAAAGAGGATGTGTAATATATAAGTAAACAGGTGTATGAAAAAATTTATATTTTAATAGATCAGCCAGCACCTGCTGACTGACATTGGGTTCATGAGCTTCAGAAACCACAACCTTGGATTGATTCACCAGACCTTGTTACTACATGACAACAATGACCTCTGAATCTTAGACTTAGGACTTTGACAGCCTCTCCATGCATGTAAACCCTTACACACACACACACACACACACACACACACACACACACGGAGCTGGACTATATGAAGAAAAACTTGAAGCACTTACTGAAAAAGATCAAAGATTACAGCCTTCAATGTAGATTACATCTCAACAGCAAGGAAAAAAAAATCATATCAGGATAAATGCAGAAGATTGACGTTGTCAAAAATTTCATTTTCATTGTCAAGGATTTGATTTTACTTGTACCCAAAGAAGCAGAAGCATTCAAGAAATCAAAAGATGGCAAAAAAAGTAACCCACCAATGCCTGAGGAGGCCTTAATCTACCCTCATGCACCCTAGCTGGCACCCCACCTGGGATGATGGAGCTGCACTCCTGCAGCAAGAAGAGGGGGGTGCTGTGGTGCAGCTTTAAGATCTCTGGTAGAGACTAGCACCTCAGGCTCTAGGCCCACTGATGGATCTACTGACGAAAGGGTCCTGTGGGAACCAGATGGTACAAATCCTTCTATGAAGACAAAGTCTTCTCTCTCCTTTGACATCCTGCCCCTTCAGACACGGCCAACAAAATACCCTGTACTAGAATCCCAGATTAACCTGTAAACTGCCAAATTTCTTCCAAGGCAATGCTAAGTGGACTGTGGCCTGCCAACATTTAGTTGGCAGCCATCTACATTTAATTGTTACCACTCAGGGAAGTCAAAGTGCTACAATCTCTGAAGGAAGCCATAAAGTGAGTATGGAGTAGGTAGTCTGCTAGAGACTGGAAAAAAGATTTTGATAAGCAAAAAAACTAGTGATTCACAACTTGGGCTTCCCATGGAATCACAAGAAAACGTTTAAAATGTATAGGTGACGTAGCATTTGCCCCAAATGAAATCTCGAAGGCAGGGAGAGGCAGGAAAGGACAATGGAAACAGGGAGCCCAGAAAGGAAGTAGAAAGAGTGCTTTTACATTGATAAGCTTGCAACCAGTGTCACAACACAAAATGTGTATAAATTGTTGAATGGAAAGATTAATGTGCTTTGTAAACTGTTACCCAAACTACAATAAAAAAACATAAAAAATAAGAAGTCAGAAGACATATTCCACTCGGCAAATCTGCTGTCAAGGACAGCATTATACTTTGAAGGACTAAAGAGCACACGTATCAGTTTAAAGACTTAAGATCTGCTTGATTCAAGGCATAGTGTTTTCAGTTGCTTCACATATTTTGAAAGTTGGATAATGATTAAGGAAGACTGAAAAGTAATCTGTCTTTGAATTGTGCGGGCAGAGTGCTGACTATGCAGTGAACCGGTAAAAGAACAACAAATTGTATCTTGGAAGAAGTACAACTAGGGTGCTCTTTGAGACAAGTGTGGTGAGATTTTGTCTTACTTACTTTGGACGTGTTGTCGGGGGGGGGGGGGGCGCATTTCCTGGAAAGGGCATCATGCATGGAAATATAAGGGCCAGAGTAGGAGGGGAAGATCCACAAGGAAATGATCCACACAGAGACTATCACAAAATTTGGGCTTATGTGCAGCAGAGGTTATGAGGATAGCACAGGATTGTGCAAAGTTTCCATTTGTTGTAAATTTGCATTTGTTATACAAGAGGTTACTTTAAGTTAAAAGTGGGCTTAATGGCACCTAACAACAACAGCAGATCAGAAAGACAAGGTTTCTACTTCCTT